ATCCATCTTGATAAATTATGTCAGAGCACTGTATTTAGGTTCATATATATAAAGCGTGAAACAAAACTCTACTGTTACAAATTGGCAACATTTGTTCCACATATTTGAAAGATTTGATTTTATGCATATTTCTAAAAGTTGGCACAGATAATTCAAATCTGAGTGCTGAGGGAGACCCATTTTTTTGCATAGTTTTTGATGTATGATTGAAAATTGATTTAGATAGTGCTAGATTTAATCTTTAATGTGTATCAGCACCCATTCATTTATTCATGCAAATACATTTTTAAGTTATAATCCAATTTAAAAGCATTTGTGAAAGGTTTTCTAATGACTTGAAATCCTTTATTCTTTAATTTGCCATCACACTTGATTTCCTAGTTTAACTCCAGCCCATGCAGTGCAGTCTGTGCTCATAAAAGCATCAGCTATGATGTCGGCTTTCTCATAAAAACTGATTCTGAGCAGTCTGTGGAGGATATGCTGTATCTTCAGATCCCATTTCAACAATAGATTTTCTTAAATAATTGGCTTTTTATTTGTTTAGTTTTTTCATTTTGGCAGGATGTCTGTTTTGTTTATCGTCCTTGTTCAGGCAAATAACACTCCTCCATCGCCAGATCGATGCTCTTACTATGCCCAATTTCCTTGTTGTGGAGCCAATAGATCCAACCAATGCCCAGAAATATTTTTCCATCCCTGCTGCAGTTCACATTCCTTGCTTGAAGAGTTTATAATTTCAACATCCAAGGATGATCTTTGGATATGGGCCACTGCATGCTCAGCATGATTTTCACTAAAGCAATCTCAATACTGAGCACTGTATGACTTCTGAAGGTCTGGAAAGAATCATCAGAGATAGCAATGGGAGGGAGAGTTCTGGCGATTTCACAGAAACCTTTTATGTTTATCACCTTCTAGTATCTAATTTCCTGCATATAACTTAATGGGGGGCTTTTTTTCTCCACCTACATATGGATTTAAAATTAGCTTTAAACCGAATACAATACCCTTCCCATCTATAGCCTCCCGTGTGGTGTTATGGCTGTATGAGTCAGAGAAAAACCAAGCATAGGCACTCAATCTGAGTGTGTGTGCTCTGCATTAGAGGGCAGGCGTGTTTTCTACGGCTTCTGAGAATGTCAATCAGTTTGTACCCCGACTGAGCCAAGGGGCTGCTCAGATGTATGAGTCTTCAAGGTGTTTTCCCCCTTCAGTCAGCTGGAGCCGCCATTAATGCTAGAGGACACATTTGGCTGTTGGACTCCCGAGGCTCCTCCTGCCACACCACAATGCTTGACTTGGCAGGAGATAGTGTGTGTGTGTGTGTGTGTGTGTGTGTGTGTGTGTGTGTGTGTGTGTGTGTGTGTGTGTGTGTGTGTGTGTGTGTGTGTGTGTGTGTGTGTGTGTGTGTGTGTGTGTGTGTGTGTGTGTGTGTGTGTGTGGTTCGGGCACAGTGGTAGAGGCTTGTAAGTATTCTTCTCAGCTCCCCCCTCCAGCTCCTGTGTGGCAGAGGCTGCAGGCAGTTAGATCTAGATTGAGAGAGGAGGCTCAGTCAGAATACAGATGTTGACGAAGCTCGACACACACACACACACACACACACACACACACACACACATACAGACACATACAGACACAGTATCCCTCTACAAAATCCATAAAGCGCCTTGTTTGCCTTTTCTATACACATCCAAAATACCCGTGTACTGCACATGTAACTGGGACAGCTAACAACATAGTTCATTGTTTAAACATAATTAACCAGGGATTTCCAAAATGACACACATCGGCTCGGCTGCACACACTTTCCTCACCTGGGTCACCACACTGACGCATACTGCACCACTGCTCTTTCCTGGGTGTCAATATTAACACAGTCACTTGATGGGGGCAATCAGGCACAGAAGTCATTGATTTATGTTTAATAGTGTTTCACTCAGGTGACACAGGGTTAATTAGCCAAAAACCCTTCAGTTACCTCGAGGTCAGAGGGTAACCGACTGCTATATAGCTGTGAATACAATCATCTTAAGAGAAACCACTTGTAGTCAGATTATCTTTTTCTTCAGTCATGGAAAATGGTGGCTGTGAGTTTTCATGCACCTCAGGAAGAGAAAAACACATTATTATGTTACATATTGCTGGCCTTTCTGAAGAAGAAGCATTTCAGCTACAGCCTCTTCTAGGCGGGTAGCTTTTGACCTTTTAATAAAGACGTGAACCTGGTTTTCCTGTTATCACTTTGGCCAGTTAAGACAACATTGGGGCAGAAAGCAAATACCGTACAGGGTCATCACTCCTTGACCTTTGCAGCTAGTTTAAATAATGTATTATGAAGAACACAAGGCATGCCTTACTAATACATACCCATACTATACCAACCTGGACTATCGATAGTTTGGAGCGGAGTTGTGGCTCCAGGAGACACAGAGAAATATGTTCTATAGATGTGTCTCCGGAAATAAAGATTATACTTAGACTCACTGACATATTTGACTAAAACTGAAAAGAGAGAAATAAGGTATTGGTTGACGTATGCTGGCTTCAATGTTTGCTTTTTTCTCTCTGGGGCTATAACCAATGCAGTTTGTTGCCAACAGAATTCAACAAAAAATAAGAATTACAACTAAAGCACTACAGCATTGTTATAGCACTTTAGTTCCCAGTAGTGAACAGCTAGTACAAACAATACTACCCATCAGAGGCTGTTGGATCTGATCTATTGTTCTGATTCTGTCGGGCAGGAAGGACACAGGTGAGGAACAGCAAGTTGTTGTTGTAATTACTGTTGTTACAGTGATTTTAATCTGGTACACTTAGAACTGATTGCTCCCAAATACACTGACAATTAATTTAAGTAAAAAATATATATAACTGGATGGTCAAAATATACAAATATGGAAGCCCCACATCCACAAACCCACCAACCTCAGATGTGTGTGACTGTCTTTCTGCTTCTGAATTATTTCATACACCTCAAGTTGTTTACCAATATGATGTTGTTCGGGATACATCCATCGTCTTCCTCATCTTTTTTTCTCTTATTCCTCCTTGTACTACAGTAATTGCCCTGTTGTTGTGATTCTTCACATATCCTGTTCCAGACAGTTTATTTTAGAGACAGAGCCTCTGAAACTGTTCAGGTCCCCAGACAGTCTAGCACAGATTATTGTCATATTTCTATCAGCTGCTGCATTCATGGCCTTCCTGTCCTGCCTTTTATATTGTGCTATCATGGCCCCGGTTGTCACATTACAGTTGTGGCAACACTCTGGAAGTGACACATATCTCGCTTCCCTATGTCAAATGTTGTTTGGAAATACAATGAAAGTGAAAAGAACATGTCAACACAGAGTGGTTTGGGGTAAAATGGTGTGCTTGGTTTCAAACAGATGCCCTTCACAACAGGTTTATTATATTATTTATTTAAGCTGCATTTTATCTGAAAAAGCTATGAACCTGTACTGAAACAGATGCTTGGCAGTAAGCAAACTACTCCTGCTCTATCAGCTGTTATTGAAAATCTATTCTTTAATAATACATGCTGCAGATTTGTTTGTTTTTTACTCTTTAATATGAATTGTAATTTAGAGATGGGTTGAGGTTAGGTACATAAACATTGAGTAGCATTAAAGCTAGTTATTGACTAATCTATTTCTCAGCTGGATAAACCTGAGACTGGCTCATACAACTGAGATGAATTGTTTTCCCAGGCTCATGGTGGTTTAACAATTTGTAACTCACTCATGTTTTCCTGTCATAAGTTAAACAGAAGTTCTTTCAAAATGGCTTTCTGGTCTGTAGGTGATTTTTTTCCAGATCTTAAAAGAATCCCTGCAACCGTTGACTTGTATACCAGCTCAATTTGTATTTTTCTAAAACACATTGCTTTAGTAAACACTTATTATTTGTTATTAAGGAATTCATGAAAGGGAAGAAATAAATGTTAACATAAACTCGTTAATGTTAATTAAAAAATGCATCTTAAAGGTCCCATGTCATGGCCATTTCTACTGGTCATAATTCCATTGTTGAGGTATACTAGAATAGATTTAAACTGTGCAATTTTCCAAACTCATATTGGTTTCTCAAACAGCATCTCTGTATAGTATGTGTATTCACCAGGGGCCTCATGTATAACACCGTGAGTAGGATTGACGTGGGAAGGTTCCTTACGTAGTAGAAATCCGAAAAATAGGTCCATACATTTTCCGCCACTTTCCGATTCACCAAACATTGCGTACCGACGAGGAAAGTGCGTATGGCACTTCCTACGCCTGTTTCCCTTTATAAATCACAACCGACTCGAAATGCGTTGCAGCTTTGGCGGGCTTCACGTAACGCCCATGTTTGCCTATAAATAGTCAAAGAAACGCCCTTTCATTCTTTCTGACTGACTGCATGGAGAAGATCACAGGAAATGACGACAGAACAGCTAAAAAAAACATCTCACATCGTGTCAGTATTTTGGGGAGGTCGAGATAAATCATATTCAGGCTTCCGGGTCGGCGATGCAGCGAGAACAAGCAAAACTCATCCTGAGCACACACAAACACTCACAGCCGAAGTAAAAANATTTAACTAGTTTACAGAGAGTTAATCCACATATTGGGGGATGTGCGTAACCCACAGACAGGTGATTGAGTATTTCCAGATATCGGGATATCTCCAATGTTTACGCACATCCCCCAATATGTGGATTAACTCTCTGTAAACTAGTTAAATGGTCTATCGAGAGATAGGCTGGTCAGATTTGACATGGCAACCCACCAGGGCAGTCAGAATCTCTGGCTGTGTGACTTGTGATGGGAATTTCTCCGGCCGATACTTGTAAATAAACATCAGTGTTTGACATCAAAGCTCAAACTCTCCTCTGAGTCCTGACTCTCCATTGCTGCAGAAGTTTCCCTCACAAAGAGTGCTTTAAAATGGAACTGGTACATTTAGACCATTCAATTATTATCACATTTCTGTTATTTCCTCAACAACAAAGCCAGCCTTCCACTGAAGCAAGGGCATTAAAGCACAAACATTAATACCTGAGATTGTAATAGGCCACTCAGAGCACACGGCCATAAAACAGATGGATCCTCACTTCGGCATGTCAAGTCTAAATGGATGCATGAAAACAAGAAGAGAATTGGCCATAGCAAAAGGAACAGGAAGGAAATCAAGCATGGTGGTCTGGATCATTTGGAGCCATTACAGCAGCGAGAACATGCTTACAAAGAACCAGGGAGTCGCATAGCGTGTAGCATGAGAGAAGTGAGGGACTCAGATCCATATGCGTAACAGAATAGCCGTGTTGCTGCATTAGCAAGGGACTTTAGGGATTTCACACTTTGTTAAATGTTCACCGCGACAAGAAATGTGATGGACACTTACTCACTGATTATATCTAAAGTAGTCTCCCTAGTAGATCTTCTCTAAAATCAAATCTGTGATTCATGCTGGAGGGAAAAAGACAGCTTTCGGTTGGAATGTTAAGTACGTTTCAATTGTGAAATGATTTTATGATCTAAAATAAGGTGCTCACGATCTAGCAATGATGATACACATTTTTTGAAAGGTCCAACAAACAGGTGAGTTAAAAATAAAATGGTTTACGACTCGAGCTGCTGCACTTACAGCTCATCATTGCTCCTCTCCCCCCTTCACTGCTTCTCACATGGTACATCAAATATTCATAATGGATTCTCACACATGCGCACACACACGCACGCACACACGCACACACATACATACACACACACAACATGGTGTGCTGCCCACGCAATAAAAAAGAAAACCATTAAAATTGGAATTTCAATATGATGCCTAATCTGAAATAAATCAATGCCCATTTTCTTACACAGCCTCGTCTTATTTTACTATTCTGAATTAATTATAATACAGCATGAAGGAGTGCTCCCTGACTGCAGTCCACACTCTCCTGGGTGCAGAACATAAAGACGTCTGATTTAAACAGAGGATATCGGGCTTGTCAAGCGATGGCTCAGAGACACTGTGAAACCGTACACATGCAGAACACATTGGACCCAATCTCTGCTCCACTGATTTAAGCTCTGGCGCCTTCGCTTCTGACAACTCCTGCAGATCTCACGATTACAGCAGGCGCTGCTGCAGACTCATGAATCACTCATCCCAAGATAAAACAGATAAACGCTTCCTACGTTAGCTGAGAGGGAGTGAGAGGGACATAGGTGAGAGAGAGAGAGAGAGAGAGAGAGAGAGAGAGAGAGAGAGAGAGAGAGAGAGAGAGAGAGAGAGAGAGAGAGAGAGAGAGAGTAGAGTAGGTAGGTAGGTAGTAGTAGGTAGTAGTTACGTAGTAGTAGTAAGTAACGTAGTAAGTA